TTTCTCCTTGGGCAAAAAGCCGGAGTGCACCAAGAAATAAAAAGCACTGATGCAGAGTGGAGGCAGCAGGTGGAGTGGCTAAAACCCAGGGCTGGGATTTCAACTTCAGCATCCCAACTTTGCCCCTGACTCTTTGTATCCTTGGGCGAGTCACCCCCTGCTCTGCGCAGGGGTAACAGCAGGGCACAAAAAGCAAAGAAACGTAGGAAAGATGATTTTTTATATGTAGCTGGAGAGAAATGCAGCGAGGAGTTTTCGTCCTTTGTGATGGAGCATACTTGGTCCACCAGCCTCAAGCGTCCTGTATTATGGTGTATGTGGTATAAAGTTTTGTCTCCAGTTTGGGACAGAGTCAAGGCACAAAAACATCGCTCCTGGCAGAGCCCTGCATGGCCAGGGGACAGGAGCTGCGTGTGTGCACAGAGGATGGTGGCACACACCGCCAGCACAGTCACTTGCTGGAGCTGGACAAATGCAGCCAGATGAGAAAGCATTTTTTTTCTTTTTCTTTTTCTTTTTTTTTTTGGCAGAGGGGTTGAAATAATTAATCCAGCAAGGGAGAGATTCTGTCACTTGAGCTGTTTAAACCAGGCCTGGAGACCTCTCCTGGTGCTCTGGCTCAGTGAGGAGCCCTGGAAGGGAAGGTCTCCTGGCTTTGCTGGGCAGAACAGAGCTTGGGGGGGACACCAGGGGGGCTGAGCCCAGGCTGCTGGGACGCTGGAGAGCAGGAGTGGTGATGCCTGACAGACTCCAGAGCTACGGGGTCAGGGATGGGCGCTGGCTATCCCACAGCACTGCAGAAGGGTCGTTGCACTGCTGGCGAGGGCCAGGAGGCCAGGCTCGTTCCCACAGCCTCCTTTTCAGGCCTGCAAACTCCTTTGCTGCCACGTTTCTTTGTTCAGTGCAAAAAAACGGAGGGTGGCTGTGCGTGTATGCAAACACGTCCGGGCTAAGTGTGTATGCACGGTCACGTGCATCTGCAACGGGGCGATCGATTCGGGGCCGGCACAGAAACAGCCTAATCCCTTGCACACTCTTCCATCCGTACAAAGAAAAGGGGTGGAGAACAGGTGGGAGGAGAAGGGGGTAGATCTGCACACACAAAGGGCACGCAGGAAGGGCAGCGGAGGCCAGCGGGAGCCAGTCCCTCTGCAGCCAGCTGGCTCCCAGCTGCCTGCACCGCGGCCCCGCAGCTTGCCCTTACCTCTCACCAAAAAAACCCCTCCGTGGCCTCCTCAAGCAGGACCGACTGCTTCTCACTTTCAGCAGATTAAAGCAGCTAATCTAGTTAATGAAAGCAGCTCAGCCTCGACGAGCCGCGCTCCTCCGCCGCGGGTTGGTGGCTCACCGGGAGCTCGAGCGTGCAAGGCGTGCGAGGCTGAGCCCGGGGCTCATCGGGAGCTGTTGGTCTCTGCCCCCGAGCTCATCCAGGAGGTGATCGGCCAGGTTCATCACACCCCATGGAGCCGTGGCCCTGGGCCACACCTGCAGGAGGAAAATTGTTTTGGGGACCGCAGGGCAGCAGGAGTGGAGCTCAATGGGAGCGAACACGATGCAGCAGCAGCAGGGGAGGTTGCAGGGGGGTTTTCAGGGGTCCCTGCCATGGTGGGAGCCTCTCTGCCACTGTGGTGAGGCTGCAAACCCTCAGAGGTGCTCTGGCAGATGCTGTGGGCTTGGCTTAGGGGAAAACACAATGGATAACACATCCAAAGGAGCCCTGTGGCTCATGCAGTCTAAGGGAACAGCTCTCCTACTGAGTCCACCCACGGTGCTGGCAGTGGACAGGAGGTGCAGGAACGGCTCTGGGCACTGCCTGCACGCCGATCCCCCTGCAGCTCTCACGGACACAGACACGTGGTGGGTCTTCTCAAACCCCTGCACCGACTGATATTTCCATGGATTGGCACAAATCTGGGGGCTCTGCATCCTGGGGACCATAAGCTCTGCCCAGCTGAGCTCCCGAGCTTCATCTCGCTGTGCTTTGCTGAACCTGTTCGCTTGTCTTTGGCTAAGGCCAAGTGCCCAGAAAATGAACCATCTTGTTTTACATCCTCCAAAACACGGAGAAGTCCCTCTTTTCTCATTAGCTTGCTCTAGTGGTTAATCACTTAGAAACACATGCCTAATTTTTTAATTTGTCTAGCTCCACTTTAACCCTACCAGTTCTTGTTATACCTTTCCCTGCTAGATTAAAAAGCACTTTAGAGTCTGGTATTTCCTTTTGGTAATCATCTCCCCTCTTCATTTTCTTTCTGAGAAGCTGAGCATATTGAGCTCTTTCAAGTCTCTGGTGGAAGGGCATTTTTCAGGGCTCTCAGGACCCTGTTTGTGTTTCTGTGCAGGTTTATTTCTCATCTCCCCCTTGAGCCACGGAGAGCAGACCCAGCTGTCACAGGGTGTTGCTGGGGCGAGCTGGCAGCAGGCTGCAGCTGGTGTGCAGTGGCGGTGCTGCACGTCACGAGGAAGGATTTTTCAGGGTGTCTTGGCAGGGCTGGTGGGAAGAGACCTCCGAGGTCTCCGGGTCAGCCTTGGGCTCACCCAAGGGTTTGGTCTATGCCCAAACATAAACCAGGGCAGCTGTGGCTGTGCGCAGCCAAGTCCTGCAAGTCCCCACAGATGGTGACCTTCAACCTCTCTTGGGAACTCTCTTTGCTTTTCCCAAAGTCCACTCCGAGCCTCTCAAGCTACAGCTTGTGGTGCTTGTCCCTTCTCATACATCTGGCACCACTAACGGGGCCTTGGCTCCATCTTCTTTTAATTGTCCTGCAAAGAGCTATAGCTGCAATTAGATCCTTTCCGCTCCTTCCACCTCACTGAAGTCTCCTTGTGCCAAGCTCCAGCCAAAGGTGATCAGCCACCGCTTAATGAATGGGTAACGTCCCCCCCAGCACACATAACCTCAGCATTGGGCAGGAACAAGGATGCTGAGGATGTTGCTCACTGGGGTGGCAGGACAAAGAGCCCCCTCCCAGCACCCTGAGCAGGACACCCACCTGCAGGCTGCAGCAGGGAGCGAAGGGTGATGCGGCATTGTCCCCTGACATCCCCAAAAGAGCCAGGTTTACCACCCTCCAAGGGTGGGTGCTGAGTGACTGGGCAATAATATGGCAATTGAAATTCAGCGGTGACAAAAGGAAACTAATGCACTTGGGTAAAAAAGAGCCCTAATTATACAAACACAATGATGGGCACTAAATTAGCTATTAACATGCAGGGAGGAGATCTCGGCAGCACCAGAGATAATTCTCTGAAAACACCAGTTCAAAGCTCATCCATCATCAAAAAGAGAAAAAAAAAAAAAAAAAAGAGAAAATGTAAGGAATTATTAAGAAAGGAACCCGGTACAAAACAGGAATGCTATTAAGCTGCCGCATGGAGCCACATTTTGAACAGCGTTTGCAGTGGTGGTCACCCTTAGACAAGGTCATGAGGTAGATGATAAAAATGATTAGGGATACGGAGCAGCTTCCATATGGTGAGTCTATCAAATCAGGACCTTCCGTTTGAAAAGAGCCGACTCGGGGAGGCACACAAAGCCATCAGTAATATAGCAGACATGAATGAGAAATGATTGCTTTCAATTTTTTAAAATATAAGAATGCAGAGTCCAAAAAAAAAAAAAAAAGAAAATCCCTCATGCATAAAACAAAGGATGTATTTTTTAACACGGTGCATAATTAAATTGCATAACTTACTGCCACGAGACACCACCGGCACCGACAATACCGCCAGCATGCCAGAAGCTGGGAGGCAGCAGCCCTCCGTCCACACCTTGCTCCTCTTACCATCAGAGCTGTGCAGATGCTGACAGACTGATAAACACCAGGACATTTCTGGAAAGCTCTGCTCACCACACAGCTGAGCACACAGCACCCCTCGCACCACCCTCCTGGATGTGCAGACCAAGGGGATGCAGCCTGAAGGATGCCCACCTCTAGACCACCATCCAGCACGGCCTCCTGCTCTGCTACCCCCAAAAATATCATTTTTTGAACCAAATTAACAACATTAGCAGCTGGAATAGAAAGTAGAGGTGCTGCCAAATGAGGTGCCTGGCTCTGCTGAGCCACAGACCGTGGGCTCAGGACAGCCACGGTCTCCCATGCCAGCAGGAGGAACCACGGCACGGTGTAGCACTACGGACCCATGGATTGTGAACCTGCAACTCCATCACCTCGCAGACGTGAATGCGGCAGCTACAGGAGTGTAAGAAAGTCCAGGCTGGCTCTGAAGCCCTGACCTTTGGACGTGCAACAGGCGTCTGACTCCGTACATCTCCCCCCATCCATCCTAAATTCACAAATCCACAGCACGGGGCCCGCACGTGCATTAAACCTGTTCTAGGAGGCTGCTCTACCTCTTCAGCACCATTTCTCCTGCTGGCTTTCAAGAGCCTTCTATTGAATAAGAAACCACCCCAAAACAGATCAAAGATGTACACAGAGAGGCTGTTTAAGGGGAAATAGCTTCTGGGCTTCCCATTTGTGGGGTATGTTTCCCTTCATGCTCAGCCCAGTGATTAGTGCTCACCAGGGAATCAGAGCTGCAAAATGAATCCAAGAAGACAGAGCAGTGTCAGGCTGTTAGTAGCTCAAAAAGGATCTTGGCTCCCCTGAGCCTGAATGCTGAGCACTTACCATTCAGGCCCCAGCGATGGATTTAACAACGAAATGCTTCAAAGGCGTGCAGTGGCCTGCCTGCTAGGAACTCCTGCTCCGATTCCTCCCAGAGGAGACCATTAGCACCTGAAAACGGAGAAGCCGTGGCCTTGGCCGCGGCATCTGGGGTTGGATGCTTCTCTGCAGAGCAATGCTCGAGCCATAGGAGAGCCAGGGCTACGAGACAGCTTCACGCACAGCCACTGTGCTGAGGCTCATATTTTTGGAAACAGCATCCCCGAGGACTGCAGTGGATGCTGCTTGTTCCTGAGCCAGCCCTGACTGTTTTGGAAAGTTTGGTTAAGCTCCACTTGGCTGCCTCTGAGTTATTCAAGCACAGAAACAGGGGTTATTGGTTGCAGGAGGTTTCGGATTTTTTTTTTTCTGAGCACAGTTCAGTCAAGAAAGCACAAATCTGGCCCGCCTGGTGCAGTTCCTGCAGGGAGGCAAAGCAGCCTCTTGAGATGAGGCTGCAGAGTCGCGGCTAACTCAGCAGAGCGCTGTGTAAAAGCAGATACTCAGCGCTCACAACTGTGGTCCGATCAGCCCTGTCTCTGAAGCTGGAGCAAAAGCCACCTTCACTGCAGCTCAGATGCCTCCCCCGTCTGTCATTCACCCGTCCTTCGTTTCTCTTCACACCTCTGGCAGAAGCCACTCGCTGCGACCCACGGCGCCGCGTGCCGCTTTACCCCGCGGGAGGTTTTGCAGGAAAGGCTGGACGTGGACAGGCAGTGCTGCTCCAGGCTGCCCTGTGGAGGCCGTGCAAGCTTTTCTGCAGGCACCTCCACACACCCTGGATGCCTGGGAGCCTGGGGTGCCCCCCCTCTTCAGCTGCTCTAGCCGTAATGCCGATAATAAGGAAACCTCCGCGCGTCTCCAGGGAAGCGGGACTCGGAGAGGGGCACAAAGCCTCCCGCAGCTGTGTGTTTGCAAACAACCCAGCTGAGCTGTGAAGAGGGGCTGAAAGCAGTAATTGTCTTTAATTAAAGGAGGTTGGAGGCATCTCAAGCTTTGACAAAAGACGTTCCCAGCCTGCTAGCAGCTCCAGCACTCATCACTGCTGCAGCCACCACCCGGCCCGCAGGTTGAAATGCGGCGCGGGACAGCGGGGACGTGGGCACGCCGACCAAAGGGTGCGGATGTGCTGGTGCCAGCATGCGGCCAGGGCAGTGCCACAAACCCACCGGGCACAAAAGGGCGAAATCTCTGGGATCACAGCTCCTGAACGGTGCAGGACATCTGAGATCCGTGGCTGTGTCAGGAGCCAGCAGCTGCCTGAAGGAGCCCCCTCCCCAGGGGAGCTGCGATGCGCAGGGCGGTGCGGCAGAGGCTACGGACCAAGCACAAGGATACCACTACAGCTCCTCCCAGGGTAATTAAACCTGCTCGTTAGCAAGCTACACAGGTGGGCAGTGCTATTGTTGTGCTGCATCCTGCACCCTGCAAGCTCACCTTGGGCTAAGCAGACCTCACACCCACAAGCTGCCGGCTGTGCATGCCTGTTGAGCTGCCACCTTGCTCCTGGCCGCTCTGAGCTGCGGGGATGCTGCAGGCAAGCTCAGGCTATTGAAATTGCCTCCTTCCCTCTCTCCCACTCCCAGGGAGCTTCAGCACACCACTGATGGTGCCAAGGGAGGGCACACATTGCCCACGACCCCGCTGGTTTCTTCCCTCCCACCCATGTTTGCTTTTGCCCCTCCAGCACTGCAGCGCGCAGGAGATCCTGGTTCTGGTTTCCATAGGAACATATGAGCAGTACGGGCAAATCCCTGCCAGGGCTCCTGATAAGGTCTGGAGGGCCAAGTGAACCCCAAAGTCATCAAAGTGTGCACGGACTGCGTGTGAAGTGCCTGTGTATTCGGCTTGACATATCCACGACGAAGAACCATGCGCGGTCCTCATGCATATATTTTCGCCTGGGAAATCCTGGAAAGAGCAGCCGTGCTCTAATTCAAGAGAAACAAAAACAAACTGGGATCGGTTCCATCTGAGCCAGACAGCAGAAACCTTTCCAGAAGCAAAAAAAAAGAAAAAAAGACCATTTCTAATTATAGGCTGTCCTGTAGATACATACACTTAGGTTTCTCACTCTGTTTGCAAATTAACCATACTCATGGTGGCAATGACAAAGTTCCTCTTCCAGCCTCCTAAACCTCTTTAGAAATGAGAAGAAATGTTGTAAGCAATAAGAGAGGGCAAAGTGGCCTGCCCTGCCACTTCCAGTGCCATTTCCAGACCTTTTGCAGGTCCGAAGGCTGGGATTCACATAGCCACAGATCATGTTTGAGAAAGTCCGGAGACATTTTTCTTACAACAGCTACCGCATCTCTTATTCCTCAGTCAATGCCACAGGTCCACTCCCAGGGTGTAAATTGAGAGTAAAACACTAACATTACTGCACGGCTCAACGTCTGAGCTGACAGAGGCGACAGTAATGGCATAACCACTGTGCTGGTGAAGGTGACTGAAAATTACAGCAAGGGCATCAGTCACCTCCTCTGAACAAGAGGAAGGGTGGTGAGGCACCACGCACCATGAAGGGCGTGCTGTGGACTGCGGGTAGCTCTGCAAAGGCGATGCAGTGGTAAATGAAGGCATTTTTTAGTCCATAATTGGGGTGCACAGCAGGTAAAGGTGAACGAGAAGCTTATCCGGGTGTGAGCCGTTCCCCAAGTGTTTCTCTTGTTCCTGTTTTCCCCACATCTCCTGCTTCTGGTTTGTTAACGAGGGATGCACACACACACCAACAGGGTCAGAATTAATTTTACTTGCCCCACAGAGTATTACCAGGAAGGGCCTAAAGCTTTAGTGCTTCCCCTACAGGAAACCTTCGTGCCTTCTGCTCCAGGAATCCTCCAGGTGATGGCTGGCAGAAGAGAGCAGCTCCAGCATCTCTCTGGCTGCTCAGCCTGAGGCGTAACCTCCTCCCTCATCGCACCTCCCTGCAAACCAAACTCTGTGCCGGAGGCTCCTGAGCCATTTGGAAGACAGCAGGCTTCAGCACTAGAAGAAACAGGCAGGTTATGTGCCCAAGCAATGCTCTTGATCATGGTCACAGTGATACGTGTCTGGAGAATGGTCACTTGTGCGCAAGACTGGAGGGACAAAGAAAGGAGAAGAGAGAAGGGGACAGAGGAAAGCTCATTCTGTGGCTCATTCTGTGGGTACTTTGGGCCACTGCACTGGGCACCAGCCCGAATCTGTGAGCTCTGCACAGTCCAGGACAGAAGAGACACAATTTTCTCTCGTGAAGGACCGGGAGAGAGGTGGAACAGCGTGATGGAAACCACTGGCTGGTGTCTGAAAGCCTACGTTGCTGCACAGACCATTTCCATGTCTCTGCAGAAAGCCTCCTGGAGAGATGATGCCATAAAAAGGCAGATATAGTGCATTTAATAGATGGTGCTGTTTGCTGTTTGACGAATATTATCTGTTGCTACAGCCTCTTCAGAAGTCACTACGGTCTTTTGAAATGCCATCCAGACTGGAAGAACTGCCATTGGGAGAAAAGCATCCATGTTACTCTATTTTATGGGCTCCACTTCAGGCTGCACTTTAATTCTCAATAATCTTGAGGGTTTGGGCATTTTGATAGTTTGAGATGAATAAAGCCTTTATCATGTGTCCATATATTTTCACTACTCCTGTCTCCTGTCACAGCTGCGGGTGTAACAACCACGGTGCTTCTGGGATCACAATGTTTTGAAAAGAAATTGCTAGCTTTGGTTTCAGACTTGAAAACTGTCTTCTTGACCACAGGGTCTCCATGAGCTCTGAATGTGACAATAGCCTCAAAGTGGGAAAAAAAAAAGACTTTGCAAGCGCGAGCTTGCCATCCCTGAAAACCATCAGTGCCCATCTAATGAAGAACCAGACCCTGCCTCAAAGGGCATTCTGGATTTGCCCTGCATGCTCCCCTCCAGGCCCACCTCCTCCCCACTGACCCCTGTCTGCCTCTGCAGAATCCCTTGGGGGGGTGAGTGGGCTCTGCTGGATGTGACTGCAGCCAGGGGATGCCAGCCACCCCCCAGCACCATTAATTAATCACCAGCAATCTGTCTCTGACCACAGCATCGGTTGCATCTCACAGCATCAGTTGTATCGCACACCTCGTGCTCTTCCCAGCCCTGCACCTCTGGCCCTAGACGAAGCATTGCAGTCATCTGAAAATTTATTCCACCTGTCAGAAAAATGAGATGTGCTTGGACACAGGATCACGCGCTTCTGAATAAAGCCCCAGACACCTGCAGCTGGTGGGGCCTGGTGCAGCGTGAGGGCATCCCTCACTGCCCCGCAGCCCCACACCTCCCTGCAGTGCACAAATTTTGTTGCACTGACTTGGTGCAAACAAAACTTCAGAGCTGCTTTCTGCTCTGCAAAGGCTGCAAGGGTCAGAGCCCCTTTGGCTCGCTGGAGCCATGAGGATGGGCTTTTTGACACCAGGAGCAGAGCTAACACGCCAGTTTACCTTCAAGGTAAATTAGATGTAAGCTCTCCAAAGTCCAAAGATGCAGTTTACTGCCAAGGACCCCAGGATGATGGTAACCTGAAGCTTGGCAGATGTCATTTCAACCCACCAAATCAAGGAAGAGCTCTCTGTCTTTGAAGGCCTCGTTTCAGAGATATGGAAAGGTTTTGCAGGAGTCACCTACCTGCAGAACACGTGGTGTTCACCACGGTCCCACGTCGGGTACCTTTCTAAGGACAAGCTCTCTGGATGCAGGAGGACAGCGCACTGAGCCGGCAGCTCCTGGTCTCTGTAGGGTTTTCTCTCTCCTTTACACCCTGCTTTCAACGACCTTGTGCCTTACAGTTTCCTGCTCACACGATACCTTTTCCTCCTTTTCCATATGTAAGACTATAAATTACCTTTTTTTTTTTTTTTGCATATTAAGGGCAGTTTCCCCATTTTTGGGGGCAGACACAAGCACTCCAAACAGAATGACTGTTTGACCCATGACTCCCACTGCTTAATGCAGGATCTTCCACAGCATCCTAAACACAAATTCCTTCCAGAACAATGCTAAAGCCTGCAGGATGCTGACCTGCAGCACCACGTGCTCTTGTGGGCACCATTGGGAACAAAGCTGGGATTTGAAAAGCACCCAAGCCATGCAGGCACTGCAGCTTCCCTGTGCTTGGGGAAGGACTTCTGCTGATGCTTTCCAGCACAGAAGCGGTCTGAGGTGCTGGTTCAGAGACTCTTCTGCTGGCAAATGTGCTTGCAGTGCAGTCACAGCTCACCCAGAACACATGGCAGCACTCTGGGCTCCTGCCCCACAGCACCTGGTGGCCAGGTCCTGCAGCCTGATGGGCTATGCCCTTCCTCCCTGTTTGTTCTCTTTATAACACCTTTCAAACATTATAGTGTTTTTTTTTTGCCTTTTTTTTTTCTTGTCTTTGACACTCATTCCTTACATGTCGAGAAATGAGGGCATTTGCACCGTGTCCTTCGCACCCCTTTTCCCTGAAATCACAGCCCCCGCTCACACGAGGTCTGCATATTCTTGGTCAGTGTCACCGTGCCTCAGGTCTCCTTCCAAAAGTACAGCGTGCAAAAATGTGTACTTTGGCCCAAACTAATTACATGTTGTTTGTTCTACATAAACACAGCCATCGTGTTAGCTGTGAAATGCTTTGATTCCATTTCCTAACCTTTATGGGGACTTTTATGCATACTTTCCAGTGATATACTATGTTTCTAAGGCATATGGGGAACAATAAAGTGTTTCCCTGGAGCTAATTAAGCTAATCATGGCTTCTAGATTAAATTTTCTGTAAGTTTTTTACCTTGCATTGCTAAAATTAAATAAAATAACCGTGCTCTTATAGAATGATCATCTGACATCGCACCGACTTTAAATTGGCAGCTCTCTCCAGGGAGAATGTCTGAAGGCATTTCCCAAAATTAAACGTTCAAAATAATCCCTTGGTTTCGGCCCAACTCAGAAAATTTTCAAATGAAGAACACCATCCTTAAAAGCAGCATTTTTTCCCAATTTTCCTCAGATTACATACAATGAAGAACCAGCACTCTTCTAAATTCAGGAAAACGCCCTCCTTGCCTCCCACATCTCCCTGCACCTCGATCCAAACTAAAACCTAATGGCTACCAGTAAAAACACCTTCCCTTTATGCTAGTAATGAGTTAAAATCCTGGAGGCCTGGGCTGGGATCCCAGCTGTTTATTCCAGTTCCTATTAATGTTTACCACTATTCCCAGAAAAAAATAAAATAAAATAAAATAAAAATCTGAGGTCTATGAGGGCAAGAGAGGGAAAGCAGGAAGAAATCAGGCTCTCCCCCTGGGTCCTTCCAGAGGAGTGAGCACAGCTATTCCCAGCTCACATGGGTGTAGCAAGAAGAGGAATGTGGTATTAGATCCAAAACGCTGCTTCATGTGTAAAAATAAATCGGGGGGAGTTTTGTTATCTGCACAGATGTGAGCACCACGGAAGCCCCCGTGTTACGCAGGGGCTCCAGCCTCTGCACCCAACCTTCTGGCCCTGGGGCTCAGCGTGGGGCTTTCCATACCCCTTCACAACAGGGCTAGGAGTGCTCTGAAACAATCCCAACCTTCAAACCTCACGCTCATATGCTGGAAACCGAGTCTGTTCCTCTCCTCTGAGCAGTAAGACCTCTTGTGGAAGGTCTCTGCCCACCTCTTCTTCCCTCTGACTTCCTTTACATGCTGCTGGCTGGTGAAGTCTAGTCCCTCAGAAGCAGCTTTTCCTATTCCAAGTGAGTTGCCTACCTGCTTCCTTCAGCAGCGTTGCCTTTCCTCTGTCCTGGGCCACCTGTGCTCTTCCCTGCCAGGTCAGCATTTCCTGGAGTTTGGGACCACCAGGGAAAAAAAAAAAAGCCTCAGCCCCCTCATCTCACACCCTCTTGTTCTGCTCCAACCTCCAGAAACCTAAACACAAGCCAGGAATTTAAAGAGAACAGGCTGGCATCTCATCTGGCTCCACGGTGCACCAAACAGGCTCGGTGTATTTAATGCAGAGCAGCTGCGAGCCCCACCACAACCCTAATTGGATTCACAACGTGGGGGGGGTCAGCAAGAAGGAGGGAGAGGAATCAAAGAGGTGGAAAGAGATGGGTTCCTGCTCCCCAGACTGAAAGGGAGGAGAGGGAGAAGCCCAAAGAGCAGCATCCACAATGACATGGAGCCACTGCAGGCTGGGAGCATTTAAATTGTCAACAGCCCTGTAGAGAAGGCAGACAAATTCCTGTTTTGTACTTGTGAAGAAGCCAGGTGATGTAATCATCTTATAGGATGATGGTGAAATACTTTCCATTCCAGCAGTAACTCAAGATGTTAAATAGCAGCTACTAAAGTTAAACATTGTTAAATCAGTGTGTCAGGATAGCATCTACCTAAGAGTTTTTAAAGAGTTGGCTGATGAACCAGTTGACAGCTAATGTTCACTTTCCACATGCCGTGAAATAGTGCAATGCTTCAGAGAGGTAGGAAAAAGCCATTTGTTAAATGAGGCACTCGTGGCTATTTTAGGACTGCCACCGCACCATCAGGACCAGTCAAATAAGGATGTGCCAGCTGGGGGATTTGGTCGGTGAAGGATTAAAGGAAGGTAGTGAGAGCAGTGCCAATCTATGAACATATATGGGAAACAGATTAAGGCAAATTAGCCTTGTATGTTTTTTGATGCAATTACAAGATTGGTTGGAGAGGTAACAGCGTTAGCACAACGCACCCAAACTTCTGAAGAGCGTTTCCCTCGGCAACACGCGATATTTTGATTCAGAAATCAGAGGGTCTGCAGACACCGTGGGACATATTCAATGCATTAAAACTTGGCTAGCTGATACTGCTACGGTCTGAGATCTAAGCGGGGAATGCGCGGAGAGCAGGTCTGTTTCTACTAGAGCCAACAGATTTGATTCGTGGCTCTGGGCTATTTAGCATTTTTATCAATGACCCAGGAGAAAGCCCAAAGTGTTCCTAATAAACTTAGCCGATGACATGGGAGTTGCGGTGCGGTAAGTAGTGAAGGTGGTGGGTTACGGATGCACGTGTGCCTCGGTGAGCTGGGCACAAGCAAGCAGTGTGCATTGCAGTACCAAGGGCACCCCGCTCCTCTGCTGGGGGTCCTGCCACGAAGGACGAGGATCCTGCCAGAACACCCCACTGCAAAGTCATTGCCATGAGGGTTAAAGCAAATCTGGGGTAATAGGGACAGGGAAATCGCAGGGAGGGAGGTGCCATCCTCTGTGGCATTGAGGGGTGGAGGATTGCTCTTAGAGGGATGGAGGCAGAGTTGTGGGAATGCGTGACCTGGGGTCCAGGGGCCAGGCACAGTCAGGACTGGGGGGCACTGGTAAGGGGGGAGGGATGGGTAAGGGGGGGAAGCAGGAACAACCACTGGAAGCATTTAACGGGTAATTCTCCTTCTCTGGAAACATTTACATCACAATTGGCTGTATCTGCTCTAGCTCAACCAGGAATGCTTCCTGTAAGAACTTAATTACCCCTAGGGCCTTGCAATTTATTGGCTGGGTCCAGCATTATCAGTTGAGGCCCAGAACCGAAACAGGCACGGAGCCATAAATAGCCCCGTATCTTCAAAACATCACGTACATATGGGACGTGATCACAAGACAGCAAGAACATACCCTTCCTCGGCACGTCAGGAAGACGCTGCCCCTCCGAGCACGCTCCTCCAAACCGTCAGCACAGGCCTGGCCCCACACCAAAACCCAACGCAGCACGGCGGGACCAAGCCCGCTGCTCAACCTTGAGCTGGAGAAGGCAGATGGCAACCTGGATCTTCTACAGACCACCTAGGTGACCAGGTTTCTCCTCTCCTCAGCACGTCTCCAGTCTCCCCACCTCACTGTTGCCCTGAGCTCCTCTCCTGGGCAATGCCCGTGGCCCTAAGGGGCGATGCCGTGTGCCTCACAGCATGAGAGCACCACCACCAGTTCCTGCAGGCCAAAACCACCCCGTCACCACGGCAAGGCTCAGGCTCCCCACACTCAATACTACACAAATACAACAAAGAAGAGGCTGCCCACTTCACCGGGCACGTGGAAGTGGAAGATGGAGGATGAAGAGAGGCTGGAGATGGCAGCAGGGCCCAAGGGCCAGGATCGGCCTGTGGCTGCCATCCCTGAGCAGGCAGAGACCGTCACGGGGAGCGTTCAGCTGCCGTCCAGCCTGAGGAGAGAGAGCAGGGAGCACAATGGCTCTGCCTCCTCTGTTGCAGAGCAGAGCCAATGAATAAGGGAGGCAGAGACAGAAATGCGCTTAATATGCTGCTTGGGAGGGACAGGCGGGGGAGGAGGGGGGAGGCCGCCAGACAAAGAACAGGGAGATGGAGGAAAAAAAAGGCAGGCGGAGAGCAGGGGAAGGTGAAGCAGGGAGGCAGGAGGACGGGGCTGAGTGTGCAGGGACGGGCACGGGGGTGGTGAGGGCAGGAGCATGCATGAGCCCCACGCCGTGGGACGGAGCCGGGGCGATGCTCGGCAGGGCCAGGCAGCCCCGGCAGGGCCCTGCGGGATCGGCGAGCAAGGCCCAGCGAAATGAAAATCTCTTAACCACGCCGAATTGTTAACTGCCCCCAAATCCTTTTGTGCTGGGGCTGCGAGCTTAAAGGAGCTTAAGCTGTTAGATGCATGAACTTCCCCCATAAATATCCCTCGTGTACGCCGCTGCTGCTGCTGCTGCTGCTGCTGCGAGCCGGTTTGCGCTGTGTTGGCCGGATGAAAAGCCCGGCGGAGAAAATGAGCAGCTCCTTCCAGCCCCTTGCAGCTGCATGGGGACAGGCTGCCCGCTGCTCGGGGCGCCCTTTTCCACCGAGACCCAAAGGCAGCACACAAGTGGGCCGCATCCCCCAGGCTCCTTGCCACGTCCCGCTCGGGCTACTGAGCCGTGTGAGAGCACTTCGCGCCGAAAGCCAGCTCGGATTTGCTTTTGTTTTGCTGCTGGAAAAGGGCCCAGATTCCCTCCCGCCCCTGAAAACACAAGGAAACCTGCCGGCCACATGTATCAGCGGGCTCCCCCCGAGCCAGACGGCTCACACTGTGGGTGCTGGCACCGGGATGTGATGGGAGCAGGGCAGGGTCACAGGGCTGCAGCCCCGTGGGTCCTCACCCCGTGGAGCAGGGCAGGACAGCCCTATTGACCCAGATGGGGTCATCAGCCCGCTCCCCAGCCCGCTCACTGCCTCACCAGGATCTGGAAGAGGACGGGAATGCTACGGCTGTGTCCCACCACTTCTATGGGACGGCTCCGCTCCTGCCCCCCGCTCACCCCAGCTTTTCTGTCTGGGGCTGGTGGGGGAATTGGAGGAAATGCTCCGATCCCGCAGGACCCCCAGGGCCCCCTCCAGCCCCGCTCGCAGCCCCGCAGGCGGCTGCCCCACGGCGAGGGCAGGCTGCCGGCCACCAGGTGATTAATGACAGCGGGGAGCGTGGGGCCACGCGCACGCCAGCACCGGCTGGAGAAACAGCTGCCGAGGTACCGGACCTCCCAAAATCCTGCTGCTGCTGCACAGACAAAGCAGAGAACCCGGCTTTTCTCCTGCTCGCTCCCTCCAGCTCGGCCCCCGGCTGCTGCACCAGGCTGCAGAAGGGGACGCTGCGATGGAGGAGCCGGGCACCCTGCTGCCTTCAGAGGGACAGCCCCGTGGCTGGGCTGGCTCCACGGCTGGGGAGCTGCTTTGAAGGAGCAGCACGAGCTCAGAAACTGAAACTGCATCGGAGCAAAGCGTTGCGCAGGGCTGGGGCTGCTTGGGCAAAAAATCATGATAATAAAAAAGGGCTGAGATGGAAAAGCTCACTTGAATCATTTTGGCTTTCTTGTGTTGCTGTGAGTGCTTCCCTTGGGCACAGCAAAGCACCCAGCCTCCCCCTGAGGCTGGGATTATCGAGGCTCCCTTTTCACATTGCAGCAGTGCTCCCCGTCCCCAGCACCGTCCCTGCTACAGCTGGAGGGCACTTGATCACCTCTTAGCTTGGTGGGAATAGCTGCGCAGTGCCCCTGTGACAGGGGTTTAAAGCAAGGATATTAAAGGATGCCCCAGCACGTCAGGACCTGTAGCTTGACACGAGCAGGCCAGCAGTGGAGGAGCTCTGTCCTCCAGGTGAGCATTCCTAGGAGAAGCCACGTAGCAAAATGAAGATGTCCGTGAAGGGCTTCACTTCTGAACCTTTGGCCTCAACAAGTAACTACTGCGAAATCACTTCCAGATTTTTGAATTTCTCCTCATGCCCTCCCCAGACTCAGCCTTTAGTCCTATGGCAGAGGGACCGCTGTGACTATTCATCCTGCAGGCCCAGCCAAATGCTGCCAGAGACTCTCCCCCTCTCTGGCGTGGCCATCTCCCCACTACCAGCACCTTCCCCGTGCTTGCTTGGAGCTGCAACCCGTCCCCTCCTGCAGCTCCTTCCCTGCACAGCACCTGAGGCTCTGCACCGCCTGCTGACGTATCTATAATTGATCTCAGAGAAATTCCAGCTCTGCTCAGTGTGCCGATGCTATCAAAACTGTAATGGGATTTTGATGTTTGGCTGGGACAGGGAAGAAAGAATCGGTTTGCCAAACGCCACGGTTTGCTCTGCTTTGCTTTCTTGCTCCTTTTCTGCAGCTCTCCCACTTCCCCGTCTTCCTAACTCCAGCAGCTCGGAGCACACCCACCCAGCACACTGCTAAGCACATCATTTTGGCTGCTTTCTCCTCACCCATCCTTGGTGCCCATGACCCAATTTCCATCAAAGCAGAACCCTCTACTTAGAAGGACACGGTGGATGTCCTGCACCCCTTCCCAGGAGGAACCTCTGGCTACGGAGGGAGCTCGGGAGCCAGGTTTGGCGATGCTCAGCCTGCAGAGGCGAGCCTGGCCACCAGCACCCCATGAACACATCCAGTCCTAGGCCGTATGCACCTCCCCAGCAGAATGCTGCAGGGAGCTGGGTCCTTCACACTGCGCGATGTTTGGGTGCCTGGAGCCCTGCTCCCCTTACCCCAGGAGCACTTCAGCCCACACCGAGCCACAGGATGAAAACTGAAACTCAACCAGTTCCTCCTGCGAGGCCCCGTACCTGTTTCTGTGCAACAAGGGAGGAACCTCCCTCTCCTCCAGACCCTCAACACCTCCTCTTGCTCCCTCTTCCATTCTAGCCCCAACATTTTGGGAAGGGGCTGCAGACCAGAGGCACAGCTCAGTGGCACATGCACCATAGCTGAACACACGTCCCTCCAAGGCCTGGGGAGCACAAAAGGCACCAGGGACTTGATGGCACCCCTGGACTCGGAGGCTCAGAGGACCCAGAGGTAAGGCAGAGCCTCTGCAAGGGACGGATGAGCCCCGCTCCCTGCAGACCATGGCTGCAAATCCCAAGCACCAACATCAGCAGAGCCCACCGCGGCAGCAAAATGAGCACCTGAAGCAAGAACAGAAGCGGTTACCTCTGCAGACGGTCCCGTTTTCCACCGACTCGTAGCCTGCCCTGCACATGCAGCGGCCGATGGGCACCAGCCACTCGCCGTCCCCGTTGCAGTACAGCTTGATGGGCACATCCACCTCCTCCGCGTTGGTGATGCACGTCCCCCGAGCCGCCACCAGGGAGGTGCTCTCCGCTCCTGAAAGAGTTTCTTGGAAGACAGCCCCGTTCTGGATCACACGGGGACACTTGCGGTAGAAGACGCGCACTGCGATCAAAGACATGCAGCCTCCATAGTCCTGGAAGGCCAGGTAGAAACCGTTTTTGGAGACGGGCCCAAAGCTGCGCACCTCGGTGTTGATCTTCATCACCCGCCCACCTAAGTCCACCTGCGAGAAGCTCTCGTCGGCAGCAATTGTATCTACCTTCATCCAAGGGTTTTCCATCCAGTTGGGAAAAGTCTTGGTGGCAGAGTCAAAGTCTGATTCGTAGTAGTAGAGATTAAAAGTCTCCTTACAGGAGCCTGGGACGTTAGGGATGCTGCTGCAGTCCCGGACGGAAAATTTCATCTCCACGTGGATGCGGTGTGCTCCTCGCCTCCGGATGTACTTGGTCCGGAGCCAGTTGTTCTGGCTGGATTCAAAGACGTTGCACACCTGGTAGGTGCGGATTGTGTTCATGTTCTCGTCGTATCCACTCACCTCTTCCCACTGCGGACAGAAAGAAAGTCAGTGGGCTGCACGGCACCGAGAGACACGGGATTAAATGGGGCTCCCGCCTGCTTTGCCTCTTCCCAGTCCCCTCGCACGCTGAGCGGGCACACTGGCCCCGTACGAGCTGTGCCACACCGTGCCCATGCTGGTGTCAATCCCAATCCCAACCATTTTGGGTAAAACGTCCCCACACATGGCCTGGGTGCGTCGGGGCACGGTGGGGCCACGCACCGCGCCGGCAGCGGTAATGGCTTTAGCAGGGGCTCCCCCCGAGCGGCTGCGCGGCGCTGCAGAGGCCTCACAACTGCAGAGCCTCCCGGCAAAGTAACACGATGCCTTTAGCAGATGTATTCCCCCCGGTGCCGCTACGGTTACAAACGTGGCAGACAGACTCTGCTTTCTCAGGAGTTCGCAACGTGACTGCAAAACCTCCTCCAGGCTGCAGCTGGAGCACGGCGCAAGGTGCAGGCAGCCAGCGGGCTGGCAAAACCCCTCAGCATCCCCCCGGGGACTGGGGATGGAAAGGGCAGCTCAGGGCCCCCTCCAGCGCTTCACCATCCGTGGGATCCCACCCTGCCTCCTCGACCAAGCCCACGGTTCAGGATGTGCAGTAAGAGACTGGCCAGCAGCCAGCGGGAAGGTTTACGGGAGCCTGCCTGACCTCGCCACGTATCCAGAACGGGGGACGTGCTGGGTTAGATCCCTCTGGTGGCCCTCATCCTACAAGGACCAACTTTTTTTGGTGTGACACAGGGGCCAGCCCCCAGCCGGAGTGCCCTCTGTCTTAAAAGTGAGCCTGTGGCATGTCGCACGGCTTGTGGCCCTGCAGTAGCATCCTTCCCAGCAACACAGCTCACAGTCAGTGTATTTTCCCTGCAAATAATCTTGGGTTTCCCCATGGGAAGGTCAGCCCAGCTCCTCCCAGCTGACTAACAGCAGCAACCAGCTCTGCTCAGGGCAGCTACACCACCACCCTTACCTGCACCCACTCCTGGCTGGCCATGTCCAGGTCTCTGCCCTTTTGTCCAGTCCTTCAGGGCTTGTTGCTGTCTCCATCCTTTGTAGGACGGGGAGACACTTCAGAGCGGGTCAGAGATGGGATTTACCCGCTGGGATCCAGCAGGATTCCTGTCACTGAGGACCCCACCAAACCGTGCTGCTGAACACCCTGGGCAGATTGCACCAGAGAGGTGACCCAGGGAAGGAGAAGGGAGGAGGAAAATCCCTTTCTGTCCTGGGTTTGGCAAGGCTCCATGGCAGCAAGGGTGAGCAAGGGCCCAACCACCATAGGGATTGGGGTCCAGCTAAAGTGACACAACCCCAGCCAGCTGGAGCAGCTCCCCGTGAACTTGTCCATAAACCTGCTCAGGTGGAAACCGAGCTGTTTCCCACCGAAATTCACCGTGCATGGCACAGCCCTGCCCTGGCAGCACTGCAGCACCCAGGGCAGGACAGCAGCACAGAGTCGATGCTCCTGGTGCTCGGATCCAGCACCCGTGCCAGGACCAAGGGCTGCAGTAAAAGCCCTGCGGGAGCAGAGCCGTCCCCATATCCCCGCCCTGTGGCCAGCAAACAGCTTCACAAGGGCACTCAGGACTGCAGAGAGAGGCTCCCGAGATGAGAGACAGATTGCTTTTTGCACATCAAGGCTAACAGCTGAACAGAAGGCTGTCAGGGAAGATCCCTAAACAGCTCCAACCATTGCTGATTGGCCATGGCTGCAAATCTGCTCCCGTTGTGGGGAGGGAGGGGAGGAGAGCATCCTCTCAAAATGCAGGGGGAGCCTTTGCTTTGTTTTCCAGAAACAAATTTGGCATGCTAGTGGAAAAATGCAGGATCTCTCTGCTTTTTAGGGCACTGCTGGGGTGAAAGGACCAAGGACAAGACGTAAGAAAACAATTACTTCCCCTGCCCTGCCTCTGACTTGGCTCTCCCTTGCCTGGACCACTCCAAACCAGCACATCAGCCACCAGGGATGACAGTACCTGGGCACAGGGATGCCCAGCACCTGACCTGTCCCTCATTCCTTCCTGCATGGCCCCAGGGAGGGCTCAGGACACAGCCTGAGGAGCTCAGCACCGCGAGGCAGGAGGCGCAGGTGGTGGAAGGCGTCTCTGCAGCCTGAGGCTCACGGTGGATGGTGGAGGCAGGGCAAAGGGAGAGCTACGAACAGCACAGGAGCTCCACAGCAAGGGAAAAAAAAACTAATAATAATTAAAAAAGCTACTTTTAGCCTACTAATAATCAGAAATAAAATACTAAACAGAGCAGCAATCAGGGGCTTCTTCCAGGTGACCCTGGTTGCACCCGATCTTGCTGAAGCTGTGTCACCCATGGGGGCAGGAGGTGACCCCACCAGCAGCACCAGCACCGTGCTGGGCTTCCCAAAAGCCTTCTTCCTAAGAGGCTCCCAAGAGGGATGAGGGACCGAGCAGGATGCCCAGGGCCAGCTCAAGGTGCCCAGCACGGCAAGCAGGGGCTGCGTGGGGCCGCTGGCACCGCTGGCCGAGCCGATCCCGCAACGCCCCGCTCCCGAGCTCCCTTCTCCCAGCTGGGAGAGAAAGTCACCCCTGTGCATCAGCCCCTCATCGCTTAATTAGAAGCTTCTCCCTTTCTCCTCGCTCTCTAATTAACATGCCGGGAACTCAAAAGAAGAAGGCAGCACAATAATACGGAGAGACGGCTTCCAGCAGGCCCAGGCCTCATTACCGTGGGGCTGGCGAGCTGGAAGCAAGGCGTGCTTTACATATGGAAAAACCGCAAACAAGAAAGGCTGGGCGAGGAGAGAAAAAGACTTGACCTCTGCTCCTGCCCATTGTGTGCCCGTCATCCCCCCTCGGCGGCCGGGCTGGAGCTGGTGGGGCGGTCGGGCTGGCAGGCGGGTGCGGGGCTTTATCATGGTGATGGGGGACCGGTGCCGAAAGCCCCCCGCGCCCCAGCACCGCGGGTCGGCCAGGCAGACCGAGGAGGCCGCTCTCGCAGGGTTTAATCTCCTCCACAGAGGCTTTTCTCATCCGTTTCTTTTCTTCTGCCAAGCTGGCTCCGGGAGAGGGCTGTCAGCCCCGGGGTGAGGCCCAAAGGAATGTCTTCATCTGGCCCCGGCCGGGGCTGGGTGCTGAGCCTTCAGCATGCGTGGGGAAGGGAATTCGGCTTCAGCTGCCAGACCCAAGGGTGAGCACAACGCTGCGTGAGGGGGCACAGCTTGGCTCAGGGTGCTGGGAGGGTCCCTTGCCAGTCTCACCTTCACCCCAGCGCCGGCTGGTGGCAGCCAGGGGGTGTCGGGCACCACGGCCCCAAGCTGCTCCCAGCCACCGCGGGCAGAGAGGGGAGGGATGCTCCAAGCATCTCAGTGCCCCACACAAACCCTCTGAGAGACAGAGGTGGCCGGGGCCTCTTCCATATGTGCAGAGACACGCTGCCTTGGCCAAGCTCTGGTTTGAAGGAGCTTGTCCTGGGTGGCCTTGGGATGGGGCCCAGGGGACTCCTGGTGACAGTAAAGTGGAGAGAATCAAAACCAAGCTAGCGAAGGTCCTGCTGTGAGTTGCTGGGTGTTCTTAACAGCCTTGTCTGGGTCCATGTTACCCCAGGGCCATATTGCTAAGTGTGCAACCTCTCAGGCCAATGCCCTGATCCTGTCCTGCGGCAGGTGATGAGCAATAAGATAACACATGAGATTCTGGGGACAAATGATGGTGGCCTTCGCGTTTCATTCCTCCTCCTCCTTCTCCCTCCTCTTTAACTGACTACAGGGCAGCTTCACAGCGAGTTTAAGTCCTCCAACATCACGTGAGCCTGATGCTGTGAGGTGAGAACTGCCCTTCTTGAACATGGGATAGTCTGGGGAAGTAGAAAGAAAGCTACCAGAAACTAAAATTGTCTTCATGTTTTTACACTCTTTTATATTTTTTATATATTTTTATAAGTGCCAAAGCACTTCAGCAGGTGCCTTTCACTGAGCAACCCCACCTGCAGCCCGGAGACCACAGCCCTGGCACGCAGCTCCCGTACAGCAGGAGGATGACTTACCCCCGAGGGAGGATGCACCGTCCAGCCCAGCTCTGCTGTGGCCGTTGTGGAGTCCATCAGCGTCTCTGCAGGAGGAAGAAGAAACGAGGAGTCAGTGTTGGTCTGGGGCTTGAGGATGGTGAAGGGGCAGGAGGAGGAAAGGAGGTCTTCCAGGGCTTGCTCCTCACCCTCCCTCCATCCCCCTGCTCCAGCCCTTTCATTGTTTTTTCCCCCTCTGCCTGTGCTCAGGTAGGTGCAGGCAGCGAGCAGGCAGCAGGGACACGAGCACTGTGTCTCCCTGCTCTGCAGGGACCTGGCTCCCTCATTCCCTGCATTGTCCAGATGGAGTTTCCTCCTCAAAATCCAAAATCACAGCCTGGGAGCAGCTCTGCAGTGGTGGCTGAGGAGGAGCCCTGGCCCGGACAGGTTTTTTTTGCAAAAGTGAGATGTTTTTTCTCAGCACTGTGCATGGCAGACAGAATCCTTGGCCTTGCAGTAGCCGACAGGAAGGAACAGCACTTCAAGGACTTGCCATACTTAAAAATTAAACCAATATTAAAGCCATTTTTCCAGGCAATTTGGGCAGAAATAAGTCAGATGCTGCCACAGCTGATCAGCACTGAACAGATGCAGAAGGTGGCTTCCTAAGCCATGTAGGCAGAGAACTTTCTGGACAATGCTCCTCGTCCTTCCTAAAACTCATCGTATCTCCTGCACTGATGGTTTTTTCATCCTAATTAGCTATTGGCTGGCATAATTACACCCGGCTGATGGCAAGAGAAGGGATGCTTGGGTTATGCCCTGCCAATACTTTGGGTAAGGTGTGGGAATGTTCCCCAGCCAGGGGAAAGCATAAAGCTTGCAGGAGAGACTGTACAAGACAGAGGCCAGACAGTGCTTCTGTGGCTAAGCCCCTGGTGATGGCCACGGAAGAAACCATCTCTCTCTGCTCTGCATGGAGAACATGAACCAGCTCTTGATTTGAGTGCACGCGCTCGGGATGCCAACTACATTTGCACGGATGCTGGAAAGCATCCACTGCATGCACAATCAAGACACAAGCATGAAATACAGCCTGCAGCTTCCCTTCCCCTGCCCTGCCAATTACCATGGAGCAGGCAAGGAAACGCTGAAGTTTTAGGGCTCTCTGGCTCTCAAGAAAAAGCACGTTACGTGCCAGGTGTACACCCACACAGCCACAGCCTGCTCGCTGAGAGCGCTCCAATGGGACAGCCCCTATTAGTAGGGATCTCCAGTCACCAGCCTACAGACCCAAGACCCAGTTCCCCCAGCAGAAGGAGGGCTGGAGACTTCCTGGCTGCAACCGTGTCCTGGTGCTGCTCCTGGCCACCAAAAACCACGAGCATCCTGCCACAGATTCCCAACAAGTGTCTCCACCTTTTCCACTTTCACTGAACACAAAGGAAGAAAAGACCGATCTTGTGCAAATCCATCATCTGAACAGACAAAGCTGGATGCAGAAACGGCAAAATGGTTGTTATTCAGCCTGCTGAGCAGTCCACGTAAGTTCTCTTTTCCCATAAGTGAGCTAAAAAGTGCCTCGGCATAGATATGCTACTTGCACCTACTTCTAGCAGTAAATCATTTTCAGGCTGTGGGTTGTTCGTTACTCCTGGTTAGAGCCAGCGGTTTCCAGTTCACAGGAAACCAGCATTTCAAAATTTGGTTTTATTCCAAAAGTGGAAAGCAAAAATAGTCCTTTTCCCACTCAGAAAAGTTCTGGAAAATAGCTAGCACAGAAATGTTGTCATTCAGATTTATGAAATTTCTTTTTAAACTGGGTATTTGTTTACATAGTTTAATAATAGTGTTTATTTTATCAAAGTATCTGGCTTTTTCATTAAAACACCAGTGGCACTTTGATCTAGAAGGAAAACAACATTTTTCACTCAGTGCTAGCTAGAATCTGCATTACTTAAAAAAATAAAAATAAAAAACCGTATTTGTTAATTTATTGTAACTATCAATGACAATGATGTGTAGTAAATACATTAATAGCAGTGACTCATGTAAGAGAAGATACGCTCTAAAACAGTATAAGTAATTCCCCAAATAAAAACAATATTCTGAAATATTTTGCATTTTAAAAGCCTTTTCTTTTATAAAAACTTGGTGCGGTGGAAATGTGTCCAGCACATTAATGCAGAGCATTGTCCAAAGCCCTCGCCCTTGCCCCTAACCCACAGCTGAAGTTTCCCATCTCCTCTGGGACATGCATCTGCCCAAGCTGGCCCAAGGACATTCATCTTCATAAATCATTAAGGTTGGAAAAGATCTCCAAGATCATCTGGTCCAACCATCCCTCTACCACCAACGTCACCCCCAAACCATGTCCCTGAGCACCACGTCCAACACAAGCTAACAAGGAGTAGAAAACTGCAGGTTTCAAGCAGGTTTTTCCAAAGGTCAATTATCTTCTCCTAAAACAATCTATCTTCCATTACTTTTAGTCTGAACTTACGCTGCCAGTTATTAGATTTCCTTTTACTTTCACAAAGACTCTGTTACCCAAAACCTCCTTTCCCTCCTGTGCTGCTTACCAGTGCCAAATGAATCATCTCTCAGCCTTCCTGAAGATAACTAGATTAACCGAGCGCCCTTATTCTTTCACTCTAACACAGCTCCTTTTCTTTGAGGCTTCTCTTTATCAACCTCCTTCATTTAGGGTGGACCCCAGGCTCATGGTCCCCACTGCACACAGCTGTAACATCTCTTTGTGCCCCTTTTTACACATCTCTTCCAGCAAATTGTCTCCCTGGCTAATGTCCAGAAAGCATTATGGGATCAGTTGACACGTCAGCATTTGGCAGTAGTTGCCTGAATTCCGTAAAATTACAAATAACTGGTCCCCACAAATTCGAGCAAACCTCATTAGCTGCACTGACAGCAAGCATGCATGTGAAGCCAGGTTGGATTTCAAGGGTGGTGGTGGGATAGATCCACCACCCATTGCTGGCTGACCTCAAAACACACTAACGATGGCCTGCCACCAAGTTATCTCACCTATATACCTGGACAAAAGCTCCTCACACCCCCCACCTGAGCTCGGAGAGGCTGTACAATCCTCCAGGGAAGCTCACTGTCTCATCCTTCAGAAGTTGCTTATTTCTAGGCAAGGGAAGCACGTTAATTCTTTTCTCCAGCCAACTAAATCAGGAGCAGTGTCCAATAACCCAGCGTATTCCCCATCTGCAGTGGCTTCTCTCTGCCTCTCTCCCAGACTCAGAGCACTTCAAATCTCCATGGCAAGAAACTGCTGTGGGGGGTCAAAGCCCCTGGGAAGATGCAGCCAAGCCGTGCTCTGTCATCTCATCCCGAAAACGCTGGCACTGAGTGTGAGCTAACGATCTATAAACCAGGAAGGTTTAATGTGGCGAGATGAGGCCTTGCCGTCCAGCTCAGCTGCTCAAGAAAAAGGCTGTGGTGCTGCCAGGGCTTACTTCTCCTTCAGCTAGGTGGGATTCTGTCACTGCAGGTCTGTGGGAGATCACCAAAGAGGAGTTTGGAAGGTGACTGTGGTCTGTAAGGATCTGCGCTGGAAGAAAGCAGCAGCACGCAGAGCTCCTTAGCCCATGAGGGAAATTGCAGCTACCGCTTTGCCTGGGAGCTGAGCCCAGTAAAGCAGATGGAAAACAAGGTTTTGTTCTAGCAGGGAAGGCATTCACCTCTGAAAACCAACCATCAAGAGATGCAATCCTACTACCATTTGGATCCTTCCCCATCCCGGGTGAGGCAGAATCTGGGCAAGCACGTGCTGCAGGAGCAGGAGCTGGGCTGAAGGCCACCGTGGTTCCTCCTGGCCCATCAAGGTACAATAACCTGGGAGATGCTCATGCTGGCAGCACAGACATCTCTGAGCAGATCAGTGACTCACCTTCAGGTCCCAAGATGTCAGCTGTGCACAGGCCTACCGCAGGTGAAGGACTCCTACAAGGCGTGATACACCCCAAAGAGCAGGAGCCTACCGTCCTCCAGAAGCAAGCCCTCCACACGCAGCAGTCCCAGCGGGGTTCAGCCCACAGCGTGCTCAGCCCCTGGCACCCGTTGTGACCCACGGTGTGTTGGCAAGGCAACCCAGCAGCTCTTCTGGTTCCAAAGGCTGTCCCTACGCCCACACCCTGCTCCAGCCCCCCAGCAGGCCCAGCTCCTGCACCAGCACCCTGCAGACTACATGGACGGACCAATTTCTGGATGGGCAGCCCCAAAACCAACCTCTAGCACAGAGGGGGGAAGTCGCCTGCTTCGGCTAGCAGATTTAGCAGCTTTGCTTGCTGCCGCTGCTGACACTTCCCCAACATCATCCTCCTGGTTTGGCAGCTCGGATGACACCCAAGAGCTGGGGGCTGCTTGCAGGAAGGTGCCGCAGCAGGTCCAGGCACTCCGGGACCCCCAGCACCCTGCACAGAGCGACCCTGCACCAACAACAGTGTCGATGCAGAGCAAACCCCCCCAGGAGCAGCACGGGTGGGTGTCTGGCCCCTGGCCCATCTCTGGTGGCTGGCGATAGCTGCAGCGCCGTGAAATGCTCTTGTCGGAGCAGTATTTTCTCAATATTGTTGTTTGTGTTATTCCCTCCCGCGTGTTTATCTGCAGATTCACATGCTACCCACAGCATTATAAATAAACCTGCAGCTGCTCGAAACTAGCAGACGCAACTCTGGCCTGCTTCCCACCAGAAACCGCACTGCTCCCCGCGGGACGGTTAGGAGATAAGTGCCTGTCCTTTTCACTTTGAAGATGCTTTCAATAAGCAACTTTCTGCCAGCGCCGGGGCCCGTTGCTGTCACGGCCTACCAGGGGAGGCACTGCTGCTTGCTACAGGAGCACGTCGGGGTCTGCGGCCTCTGCCCCAAGCTGGATCCCAGCTCGAGCCCTTCGCATGCAGAAATTTATCACTGCCACCACGCCATGGCCCCCACGCTCACAGCAATCACCTGGGAGAGGGGCTCCTACGTTCCTGCCTCACCTCCTTGCTGTTCAGCCACAGGTGAAATGAGCGTGGGGGTCTCGGCTGCACCAGCTCGGCCCATCTGGGAAGGTCAGGACCGAGACCTGGGAGCTGGGA